CACACACACATGTATTATTGTATATATAGAACCACAATAAAAACTATGAAAAAAAATTACACTCCTTCTTCATAATGCAACTTCTTCATAAAGTATATAGATATACTAGTTGAGTTTCACTTATCTGAAATGCTAGGGACCAGAAGTGTTTTGGATGGGGGGCAGGATTTTGGAATATTTGCATATACATAAAGTTAACTTGAAGATGGAACCCAAGTTTAAACAAGACATTCATTTATTTTCCTTACAGAATTTCATTTTTAATCTTGGGTTCCATCTTCAAGTTATCTTTATGTACATGCAAATATTCCAAACCCCTACCCTCCAAAAAAAAAATCCAAAAACTTCTGGTCTCTAGCAATTCAGATATGAGAAACTCAACTAGTATACCTTATGAAGATGTTGCATTATGAAGAAAGAGTGTAATTTAACAGTTACCAAATTATGTGGCAGTTGTATGTAGCGTATAGAACTACCTTCAGGCTACATTTTATTAATGTACCCTGAAGGTAATTTTATACACTACATTTTTAATAATTCCGTGCAGGAAACATAGTTTGTGTACACTGAACCATCAGAAAGTATCTCAGCCACCCATGTGGACAATTTCAGATTCTGAAGTATTTTGGATTTCAGAATTACAGATAAGTGATACTCAACCTGTTTAGATATTTACTGAAGTGATTTAAAAAAATGAAAAATATATTAGATGAACAAGATGTTTTGGCTTCCTCCTTCTTCAGTTGCTGAAGAAAAAAACGGAGTTGCACCCAGAGCAGCAGTTTTTAGAACTTTGTGTTTTCAACATTCCTCAATGGATGATGGTATTGTCCTTTAGCTTAAGGCCATGGAGTGTTAGGGTCTTAAGCTTACAAATCCAAAAATTCTCCCATTTGTCCAAAATGTCTGAAGAAGATGCCATCTCAGTAACAAACAGAGGCCAATCTGAGAGGTTCAGATGTTCAGAGTTAAAATGCCTGGCCAGTGTTTGCTCTTGTTCTGGTCAGGACTGTAGTCTTATTTTTCCTGAAGCATATACGCAGATCAGTGAATATACAGATATATAGTTACATATGAAAAATAAAAGCCTAAATGCTGCAGAGAAAGGAAGATTTGTTTTTTGCAACTGCCATATCCCTTTCCTCCCCATCAAGGTTGTGTCATACTTCAATAGTGTTATTTAGACACCATGTAACAATGCTAAACTCCTTCAGAAATTAAAATAATTGAGAAAGGAACAAACACACTATGGCATGGTATTATTATGCTTAGAAAAGAGGCTGTTATCTCTTCTTGCTGAGCAGTGAGGATTTTCTGAAAACTGTATCTTCCCTTGACAGAAATTAATTCAATATTATCTCTACTCTTTCCCCAGTTATATATTTTGTTTTTAAAACCCCCCAACCCAAATCCTTCAAAGAATGCCTTTTAGTTTTCCTGGTGCGTAATCTACTTATGAGATGAAGTGGTGGTGGAGGGGAGAGGAAAAATAGGACAATGATGCATCTTTAAAAGGCAAACAAGGTGGGCAGGATGTAAATCATGGAGAAACAAACACGCTTTTCAGTGTCTCTCCGGGAAGAAGTGTGTATGTGTTTACAGTGATTGTTGTTAACAACATGGGAACATCAGACATTGCTGGAGGCTGCTATATCGGACTCAGAGCCCGGAGGATCTTTTAACAACCAGAAACATGACATTTAAAGGTTATTGTCTGCATTCATTATTGATACACCAGTCTCCATATTTATGGCACTAGAGAGCGTAAGCAAGTCTCTGCCCCAATGAGCATACAATCCCATGTCTTAAGAATGGCTGGAATGCTGTTCGTGTCATGCACACGTATATATTCCCATTCACAGGCAGCGGTGCTTCTTTGATTCTTGCACAATTGATGTGTGCAGTTCCAAATACAACATAGGAGATTATCAATTAGTTTTGCTACTGGGATAGACCCGGGATGTAACTTTCTTAAGGTGGATCTCATTGCATTCACCCATCGCCATGCAGTGTGCAGCCCATGTGCAACCTGAGCTTCTCTCGTAGCTTTTCAAGAATGGAATTTTCCCATTTTTGAAAAGCTGCGGGACAAGCCTGGAGAAGCCCAGGTTGCATATGGGCTGCATACTTCCTGACTTCAAGAAAATTACATTCTGGGCCTATCCCAGCAGCAAAGCTAATGTGATAATCTCTATAGAATCATAGAATCTTAGAGTTGGGAGGGACCACCAGGACTGTCTGCTCAAATGGTTCCCAAGCTTTGGTACTGCAGTTGTTTTGGACTTAATCTCCCAGAATTCCTGACTGGTTGACCAAGCTGGCTTGGGCTTCCGGTAGCTGAAGTCCAAAACACTGGGAGGACCAGAGTTTGGGAATCACTGATCTAATCCAACCTCCTGCCATACAGAAATACACAACTAAAGCATTCCCACAAAATGGCTGTCCAATCTCTGTTTAAAGACCTCCAAAGATGCCTCTTGAAAAAGCTAACTTCCCCAACATTTGGAGTATTGCAGAGTATTTGGAGTATTTCTTTGGGTAAAAGCTGGGGTCTACTAGAGACCTCCAAGCCAATCTGAGGACTTCGATGATACCTTCCTGGAACAAGTGACCCAAAGGAGAAACTAGAGAATTGGGCTGAAATGCATAGAATGAAATTAATCAGAGACAAATGCAAAATTCTGCATTCAGGCCACAAAAATCCAACAAACACTTATATGATGGGAGATACTTGGCTTAATGGCAGTACATGTAGAAAGAGCCTTGGGATTATTGTTGATCCTATGTTGAACCTGACCAGCAGTATGCTGTTGCAGCAAAGAAGGCAAATATTTAGGCTGCATAAATATTTTGTAATGTTTTAATTTTTTTTAATTGTCTAAATTTGTAGTTTTAATCTTCATTTGATTTAATACTGTTTTAAGGGGGAGGGAGGGATTGTGTTTTGGGATATATTGTATGGTTTTACTGTTGTAAGCTGCCCTGATTGGGTCCCCAAAGGGCGGGATATAAATAAATTTTATTATTATTATTATTATTAAATAGAATCTGAAGGAAGTAATAGTTCCCCTATATTTTGTGATGATTCAGTAACATCTGGAGTCCTACATTCAATTCTGGGTACCTGAATCCTATTTTGGGATATAATTCCAATAAATAAATAAAATAATTTTGAGGAGGA